TCTCTATAGAAGAATTAATACTATGCGGGTAATCTGCATCTTGCATTGACTTGGGTCGTCTCAACATACAGACATACATATTTACATGGTTATCCGGTTTCATTTTTAAAATTTGAGTCAAGATGGCTTAGAGTACAAAATTTCTCATAAACTAGTATTCAAATGAGATCCTGTTTATCAAATTGCGTTTTTTTAAATTAATGACACATAAATTCAAAGAATCGGGTAATAGTCCTTGGCTTGTGTTAAAAATTATGTCATCCTCTCTTATTCTCTGTCGATGATTGGTCCTTCTGCCAGACCAGGAAGTTCGAGTGCATCCAGACAAAGAAATGAAAATGTATTTAAAGTGTCTTTTCTGGCTGCAGGATCTGCAAGGACGGCGAAAGAAGAGAGACACATCACTGCAAAAGACTGAACGAGTTGCCAGATTCTGACAACAAAGCTCTTTTCGGTTCAAGCAGTTGTGAGTTATTGTTTCTGTGGCTTAACTCTTGCTGTTTCTAATACTATTACTAGAAATATTGCTACTGCAGCAAATACTTATATATTATATATTACTTTACTTATATTATTACTTTTACTACTACTGCTACTGCTACTACAAACAAACATGCTAATACTACTACATTCATGACTACTATTACAGCCACTGCCCTTGTAGTAGTAATAGTACTACTACTTCTTCTTTTTGTTCTTTTTCTTCTTCTTTTTCTTCGTCTTCTTCTTGTTCTTCTTCTTGCTCTTGTTCTTGTTCTTCTTCTTGTTCATTTGAAGAACAGCGCATTGGAGAAAATTGTAGCAGATTCTGAAAAAAGCTGTTTACTGATTGGACAGACCTAACTCCAATGAGCTTTAGTTTAATATCTTGCTTAAATTATTTATTGGTGAATTTAAAGTTGCAAAACATGATGACACTCAGAAGTAAATAAAACGTTAGCTCTTCTTCTTCTTCTTATTCTTTTTCTTGCTCCTCTTTTTCTTTTTCTTTTTCTTTTTCTTCTTCTTTTTCTTCTTCTTTTTGCTCTTCTTCTTTTTCTTCTGCTTCTTCTTTTTCTTCTTCTTTTTCTTCTTCTTCTGCTTCTTCTTCTTCTTTTTCTTCTTCTTTTTCTTCTTCTTCTTCTTCTTCTTCTTCTTCTTCTTCTTCTTCTTCTTCTTCTTCTTCTTCTTCTTCTTCTTCTTCTTTCTTCTTCTTCTTCTTCTTCTTCTTCTTCTTCTTCTTCTTCTTCTTTCTTCTTCTTCTTCTTCTTCTTTCTTCTTCTTCTTCTTCTTCTTCTTCTTCTTCTTCTTCTTCTTCTTCTTCTTCTTCTTCTTCTTCTTCTTCTTCTTCTTCTTCTTCTTCTTCTTCTTCTTCTTCTTCTTCTTCTTCTTCTTCTTCTTCTTCTTCTTCTTCTTCTTCTTCGTCTTCGTCTTCTTCTTCTTCTTCTTCTTCTTCTTCTTCTTCTTCTTCTTCTTCTTCTTCTTCTTCTTCTTCTTCTTCTTCTTCTTCTTTCTTCTTCTTCTTCTTCTTCTTCTTCTTCTTCTTCTTTTCTTCTTCTTTTTTCTTTTTCTTCTTTTCTTCTTCTCTTCTTCTTCTTCTTCTTCTTCTTCTTCTTCTTCTTCTTCTTCTTTCTTCTTCTTCTTCTTCTTCTTCTTCTTCTTCTTCTTCTTCTTCTTCTTCTTCTTTCTTCTTCTTCTTCTTCTTCTTCTTCTTCTTCTTCTTCTTCTTCTTCTTCTTCTTCTTCTTCTTCTTCTTCTTCTTCTTCTTCTTCTTCTTCTTCTTCTTCTTCTTCTTCTTCTTCTTCTTCTTCTTCTTCTTCTTCTTCTTCTTCTTCTTCTTCTTCTCCTTCTTCTTCTTTTCTTCTTCTTCTTCTTCTTTTCTTTTTCTTTTTCTTCTTCTTTTTCTTCTTCTTCTTCTTCTTCTTCTTCTTCTTCTTCTTCTTCTTCTTCTTCTTCTTCTTCTTCTTCTTCTTCTTCTTCTTCTTCTTCTTCTTCTTCTTCTTCTTCTTCTTCTTCTTCTTCTTCTTCTTCTTCTTCTTCTTTCTTCTTTCTTTTTCTTTTTTCTTCTTCTCTTTTCTTCTTCTTCTTCTTCTTCTTCTTCTTCTTCTTCCTTCTTCTTCTTCTTCTTCTTCTTCTTCTTCTTCTTCTTTTCTTCTTCTTCTTCTTCTTTCTTCTTCTTCTTCTTCTTCTTCTTCTTCTTCTTCTTCTTCTTTCTTCTTCTTCTTCTTCTTCTTCTTCTTCTTCTTCTTCTTCTTCTTCTTCTTCTTCTTCTTCTTCTTCTTCTTCTTCTTCTTCTTCTTCTTCTTCTTCTTCTTCTTCTTCTTCTTCTTCTTCTTCTTCTTCTTCTTCTTCTTCTTCTTCTTCTTCTTCTTCTTCTTTTTGCTCTTCTTCTTTTTCTTCTGCTTCTTCTTTTTCTTCTTCTTTTTCTTCTTCTTTTGCTTCTTCTTCTTCTTTTTCTTCTTCTTCTTCTTCTTCTTCTTCTTCTTCTTCTTCTTCTTCTTCTTCTTCTTCTTCTTCTTCTTCTTCTTCTTCTTCTTCTTCTTCTTCTTCTTCTTCTTCTTCTTCTTCTTCTTCTTCTTCTTCTTCTTCTTCTTCTTCTTCTTCTTTTTCTTCTTCTTCTTCTTCTTCTTCTTCTTCTTCTTCTTCTTCTTCTTCTTCTTCTTCTTCTTCTTCTTCTTCTTCTTCTTCTTCTTCTTCCTCCTCCCCTTCCTCTGCTCTCCTGTCTTCTCCAAATAACCAATCTGTTTCTGGAATCATTGTCCAGTGTCTGTTATATGTTTTCCTAAATCTGTTAAGATGTGGGTTCAATACTGTCTAGTTTCTAGCTGTAATATTTATTTTTTCACCTCAGTGCCCTGCCAGTCCACAGCCAGCATTTTTTACCTTCTATCTTTACAGGGAATCCTTTAGATCACCTCGTGAGATCCACATTAGTCATTCTACTAAAGCATTTATAGCATCTCTTTTTGTAAAGTCTTCTTCTTCTTCACTTCCTCTTTTACCGCTGTGGGTGTCGAGGGAGATATAAGGTTCTGTCTCTAGCTCTTCTGGCCGCCTCGACCATAGGCACATCGTGCTGTTGTAGAGTTTCTCTGATGTTATCCTTCCATATGGTTCTTGGTCTACCTCGTGCTCTACGTCCTTCTTCTCTTTCCATTTATACATTGTATGGTATGGTGTCACAAGGCATTCTCTCTAAGTGGGCAAACCATTTCACCTGCTGTCTTCGTATGTAATTTAGAATTTGTTCTGTGCCGACTTTATCTCTTATGGTCACTCAAACAGCCCTTCTGTGAAGTCAGCCACTAATTAATGATAGCTTGCAGTTCTCGGTAATCTATTTCGGCATTCCATATGTCTCTCATCCATAAAACATTCCTGTCTTGACCTAGTGTTGAATATTCTAAATTTCGTTTTAGATTTATTCGCTTTTGACTTCGCCAAACTCCTTAATTCTTTGATAGCTTCCAGGGATTCTTTGTCTTTGAACCTTGTATTTCTGCTTTTTTCTGAGTTCGCCTTTAAAACTGTCGTTGGTTTGCGGTTTCGCACATCTGGTTTCATTAAATTCCTAAATAGTCGCCTTTTACAGCCTTTTACGGCAAGTTTCATTTTTAGTTGAACCGAAAATGGTTCACTAGACCCACAAGGGGAGCTTTGTATTTAACTGATGCACATGTTGCTTTATCTTTGTCTATATCGCTCCACATCTGGGGAAGTAAAGGCAGCCGGCGTGATGGTGACCATTTTGTGCCGACTGGTCTATAAAATATAGGTCTAGCCCTATATGCCTTATACGCCTAAAGGCGTAGAAAAGGTTTTCTTCCTTTTTTTTTAAACATCGCTCCACAGAAAGGTAATTGATTCCATTTCCCGATGACTGGATGTTTTCATCGGCTTAATTTAGTAAAGTTGTCTATGCATTGCACATATGTGCATTTAGGTCGTAATATACAAGGCTTATTCCCGTGTAGTTAGCATTTTTTGGATATTTTCTCCAGGTTATGCCGGTGTGTTCGGAATGAGCAGGCAAGTAGACTGGTCGGTTTTGCACCACTTGGTGGTGATTGATATATGACAAGCTGGATGTTGTGAGGGCCCTTTAGGAGCGAGTGAACAGTGCCGAGGAACAGGTAGATCATTACGGTCTACGAAGAATGCCACTACGAAGAGTTACAAGGGGATCTGGCCGACGCTCGACACTCGGGGGATATATATACAATCAGACAGTTACTGGTACAACCGGAAATGTAACCCTTCGCTTGCTGCTGATGGAGACGTAAAGGTTACTGGGGGTCTCCCGAGTGCTGCGATGTCGATTCTAAATTTAACATTCAACACATAAAAGGCCTCTCCAAAGTTGCTTCTTAGTTACGGGCACTTTGCATTTGATGCGATGAGTTGAAGGTACACATGAAAGACAGAGGACCCTTTCTGGCACGTTGAAACTATTATATACTTTGAGGTTTGAGTTTAAAACAACGGATCAACATCATGGCACACGGGTGGTAATCTATAAGTGCTCCGTTCTTCTTCTAACTCACATCTGAGTCCGAAGAAGCTCAGCACAATGCACAGGCTATGTAGCACCGGCGAGGATCCTGAAATAATTTGAGCGCGAGGCTACTCTTTTCGATTTCCAGCTGCCAAGAATTTTTTACTTGCGCAACAATGCACACGGGCGTCCGATCTCACTACCCATAGACCAGGGGGAATTACTAGAAGTCCACGTGCAAAAATTCCAGCCCTCACTGGTGATTGAACCCGAAACCTCTAGCACTCAAGGCGGACACTATACCTCGAGACCAAGCAGCCCCCTAGAGTATATGGTAAGCATAAGAAAGAAAAAAGATAGATTACCCTACAAGGACACCCCACACTGGCCATTACTCCTCCCCTCCTCCTCACACCCCCGCCCCCCTTCCTCAGTAAAGTGGTAAATTCAGAGAATAAAATAGTCTGTATCTCTACTCAGCCGGTATGTTCTTTCTACAGACACCTCTAAGAACTTGATCTGTACAATGAAGATTCTCGTCTGTTGTGCTATTACCGCGTGGGCAGCCTGCATATCTATTTGCTATGGTAGGTATATCATCGCCATCATCATCGTCAGTCATTAGTGTTTTTTCAAGGTTTAAACTTCACGACAAACGGCGCACCCCATAATCATCAGCACCGGAACGTGGAGGCTCCACCCCCAAAAATGTTTTTATGCTGAGGTGTTTTCCCACTCCCCGCCCCCAATTAATTATAATTGTTAGGACGTGCGAGCTTCTAAGAGTGTTTACTCACTCCCTTATTATGTATAGCCATTCTCTCTTTAAGTATATGTGCATACATTTCACTAACATTTCAAATTTATTATTACATTACTTTGCTATTACGCAGATATAATAATATCATTTATAATAACAATAATAACTATCATATTGCACACTGAAACAAGGCCAGACTTAGGCTCCTTGAGCCCATTCCTCTAACCCCTAAGTAATTTTAAGAGTTCCAAATATTTCTTTAAAACCGAGCTCATATTCCATCATGCTTCGTTCTGGTGCCAGTCGAGATCTTGCTACGTATGGAACAGAAATATGGAGAGTGCCTGAAATGAGCGTATCATTGGTGTTGACCGAAAGGAGGAACACTTCAAATGATGTGGCTTAAGCGATAAGCGTGAGCAACCAAAATTCTTTTTTTTTTTTTTTTTTTTCGGACGACATTCGATTTCCAGCACAATGTGTTTGGCTGTCCCAAAAAACACATCAGTCCTATCATCATCATGTGGCCTAAACTTTTACGTCAGTAGCGCACCAGGCGCATGGTGCTAGGATGAACGAACGAACAAACTTTATTTTCAAAGGGTTAAGAATTGGGCACACAGGCCCGTCTTACATCCTGCCCTTCTGGCTTCACGCCATGCATACATTATTTATGCACACATTGTTTTAGAAGATGGTAATAAATAATAATAATAATAATAATAATAATAATAATAATAATAATAATGATAATTACAGGCATCATCAATAACATGTTTGTAACAAGGTACTCTAAGTATGCCTACATTTTAAAACAATTATAATGAGATTTGTTTAGAACAGTGGTTTTCAAAATTGGTTTCAGGTGGAGTATCCTTTGACAATATTGTAAGTCCCCCACGGCCCCAGGTGTAAAAAAAGCGTAAGTAGAAAGAGGAGGACAGACAGACAACATGTAAATCACTCTTATATTGGACCCTCACACCGGTGTCACATACAACTGTAACATTATATTGTGGCATTCACCTGATGCATTATATAGTGACATTCAAATGACTATCACATGCAACTGTTATGTTGTCATACAACTATAACTTACAACTTATATCATATTGTGATACTCATAAACTAAAACTATTACTTACAACTATTATATGGTGATACTCATAAAACTATCACTTAAAACACATATTATATTCTGATACTCACACACATATCACGCAATATTCCCCAGCTGCTGATGCCCTTGTGGGAGAGGCCTATGTGGTTATGGACCAGAAAGCTTTGGATTTGTAAGTAAAATAAGGGAAACTAGGCGGTGCACTCTCTTTCTTTCTGTCTTACATCTTTTCTGTGATGGTGCAGTCATCTAGCGAGATACAGCCAGTTGTATTTTTCTTCTTGTGTGTCTTTTACTGACGAACGCCTTCTGACCGCAAAGTTAATTTTGTCCTATGAGATTGTGGTATTGTGAAGCCGTCTACTTCTACTTCTTGTTTCAAGGGATATTTTTCAGAGATATAAAAATTCGGCATTTAAAAAGTTACCCAATTTTGCATTGGACTGTTAGTGTTAGACTCATATTTTTATATCTGACTTTCAGTGTTAAATAATATTTTTATATTTGGCTGTTAGTGTTAGACTCATATTTTTATATCTGACTTTCAGTGTTAGACTCATATTTTTATATCTGACTCTTAGTGTTAGACTCATATTTTTATATCTGACTCTTAGTGTTAGACTCATTTTTTTTTTTTATATCTGACTTTTAGTGTTAGACTCATATTTTTATATCTGACTCTTAGTGTTAGACTCATATTTTTATATCTAACTCTTAGTGTTAGACATATTTTTATATCTGACTCTTAGTGTTAGACTCATATTTTTATATCTGACTTTCAGTGTTAACTAATATTTTTATATCTGACTGTTAGTGTTAGACTCATATTTTTATATCTGACTCTTAGTGTTAGACTCATATTTTTATATCTGACTTTTAGTGTTAGACTCATATTTTTATATCTGACTTTCAGTGTTAACTAATATTTTTATATCTAACTGTTAGTGTTAGACTCATATTTTTATATCTGACTTTCAGTGTTAACTAATATTTTTTATCTTTTAGTGGGGTTGAACTTTTTATATAGTGTTAGACTCATATTTTTATATCTGACTTTCAGTGTTAGACTCATATTTTTATATCTGACTTTTAGTGTTAGACTCATATTTTTATATCTGACTCTTAGTGTTAGACTCATATTTTTATATCTGACTCTCAGTGTTAACTAATATTTTCATGTCTGACTGTTAGTGTTAGACTCATATTTTTATATCTGACTCTTAGTGTTAGACATATTTTTATATCTGACTCTTGGTGTTAGACTCATTTTTTTATTGATAAGTGTTAGACTCTTGTTTGTTTAGACTTAATATTTTTTTATATCTGACTCTTAGTGTTAGACTCATATTTTTATATCTGACTCTTAGTGTTAGACTTATATTTTTATATCTGACTTTTAGTGTTAGACTCATTTTTTTTTATATCTGACTTTTAGTGTTAGACTCATATTTTTTATATCCTGCAACTTTTTAGTGTGTTAGACCTTATATTTTTATATCTGACTCTTAGTGTTAGACCTAATTTTTTCCCATATCTGACTTTTAGTGTTTTTAGACTCATATTTTTTTATATCTGACTCTTAGTTAGTGTTAGACTTATATATTTTTATATCTGACTTCTTAGTGTTTCGACCTATAATTTTTATATCTGACTGTGTTAGTGTTAGACTCATATTTTTTATATCTGACTGGTTAGTGTTAGACTTCATATTTTTTATATCTGGACCTTTTAGTATCGTGTTTAGACTCATATTTTTTATAACTGACTCTTAGTGTTAGACTCATATTTTTATATCTGACTCTTAGTGTTAGACTCATATTTTTATATCTGACTCTTAGTGTTAGACTTATATTTTTATATCTGACTCTTAGTGTTAGACTCATATTTTTATATCTGACTCTTAGTGTTAGACTTATATTTTTATATCTGACTCTTAGTGTTTTATATATTTTTTATATCTGACCTCTTAGTGTTAGACTTATATTTTTTATATCTGACTCTTAGTGTGTTAGACTCATATTTTTTTTTAATCTGACTCTTAGTGTTAGACTTATATATTGTTTATATCTGACTGTTTAGTGTTAGACTTCATATTTTTATATCTGACTCTTAGTGTTAGACTTAGATTTTTATATCTGACTTTTAGTGTTAGACTCATTTTTTTTTATATCTGACTTTTAGTGTTAGACTCATTTTTTCATATCTGACTTTTAGTGTTAGACTTATATTTTTATATCTGACTTTTAGTGTTAGACTCATATTTTTATATCTGACTTTTAGTGTTAGAATCATATTTTTATATCTGACTCTTAGTGTTAGACTTATATTTTTATATCTGACTTTTAGTGTTAGACTTATTTTTTTTATATCTGACTCTTAGTGTTAGACTTATATTTTTATATCTGACTCTTAGTGTTAGACTCATATTTTTATATCTGACTTTTAGTGTTAGGCTCATATTTTTATATCTGACTCTTAGTGTTAGACTCATATTTTTATATCTGACTGTTAGTGTTAGCCTCATATTTTTATATCTGACTTTTAGTGTTAGACTCATATTTTTATATCTGACTCTTAGTGTTAGACTAACATTTTCATAGATCAATGGGTTTTTAAGACGCGATATGATCAACACCACAGAGCCCCTAGGACTTGTTCAAGTATATATATATATATTGGAAGGTATATTACTATAGAGAAAATTATCTCCTAATATATATATAATACTTAATATATATTTATATATCATATTTTAAAAAGATTTCAGGATAAAAGAAAAAATCTTCTCATTTTAAACTGAACCCACGATCTTCAGGATAAAAGGCAAGAGTCAAACTACTGCATAGCCCGGCCCGCACTGAGAAATATGCCTTGTACAATAAACTGCATTTTTTTTTTTTGGGTAGTGGTAAATACAAAAAAATGATGTTGAGGATAATGTTGAGATGATGATGATGATAATGTGATGATTATGGTGATAACGATAGTGATCAGATCGTTTTTGTTTTTGTTTAAAAAAACCCAGATGCAAACACTTATTTAGTGCTTAAAATGGTGCCGGTACTCACCACAAATGTCTTTCAACAGTAGCCCTGAAAGAGAATGATGCCTCGAAAAGGTGCCGGTGGTGTCGTAGCGCTAGAAATAAAAAGCCCTAACAATGATGACATGATGATGATAACGTAGACATTTTGATGATGATAATTGTAATAATGGTGGACACGATGTCTGCTCTGACACAAATATTTAATCATTCTCTGGATTTTAAAAAAAAAGGACGCTATTCATGACAGAGTTTAAATTGATCTATCGCAGGCATATCAACGAGATTCCCGGAACAGACAGCTATGAAACTAAGAAAACACAAGCAATTACCAAAGCCCAGGCGGACATACAATACATCTTTAGCGAGGTAGGAGAGATTTTCTGCTGTTACTTTCCTTTTCACGCACCTTCTTCTTCTTCAGCATTCTGATCTTTTGGACTTTACTGCTGTATATCGTGGGCTTTCATACACCTCTGTGATATGACTTGTCTTCTCTTTCCTGTTGGCGAAGGCAGATATCTGTAAGTATGCTTGTACATTTTCTATCCACTGCTTTCTCTGTCTGCCTCCTGATCTGCTACCATTGAACTACCTCGTGTCCAACGGCCTAGAGGTTTTTAGGCAAACACACAAGCTTCCGGTTATGTAACGAAATGTGATGAAAAGTAAGTGCGACTAGTGTATATTGACCACATTGACCAAAACATTGTTGGCACTTTTCCGTCCCACATACCATGGCGATGGCGAGTGTGACTAGTAATAGCTAAACACGCTGAGATAACTCTTCCACAAAAAGAGAATGAAATTTCAAGATCTGATTGACCCCCTCACTAACCACTGTCCATGGCACTTTGTTCCAACGCATCTACCTCAATAGATGTGTTCTCTTCAAAACATGCAAAGTACCCCAAGGATAGTAAGTACAATTTGGCACTAGTTAACTGAGAGTATATGCGCCATTGAGAGTTGAAAAGAGGGAGTGGGAGCGGGGTCTAGAAATAACTATAAGCAGAACGCTTAAATGGAATGGTGATGAATAAATATGTGTTCCTTTATCTACCATCCTACAGACAAACAAGATACTCAGTACCCTGGAAGCATACGGGGTGAACTTTCAAGTCAAGCTTAGAGCTGTTAGAATTCTGGTAAGTAACACCCAGTTACATGTGAATCGAATATGTTAAATTGCATCTCCTCCTGGAGGCTCTTAAACGCAACCCCGGCATTTACTGGCTGTTGTGCGAGTTTGCTAGGGAATTTTGCCATTGTTTGCTGAAAGGTAAGATACTTATAATATTGACAAATCGATGCATAGATAACTGAAGAATAAAATCGCTTACAGTGGTACTGACATTGACATCTTCATCCCTCACCTGGTTAAAATGACAGTACTGACAGCTGGTCATTAGGTAGCCTTAACAGTTCCTAAAGATGATCACTAAAATAACATTAACCGTACTTTTAGTCGTCACGAATTCACATTAGCAATACTTAAAAAGTACACTTCACAACGTTAATTTCCAAATCTGAATTCCTAAATTTCCTGAACACTGTTATATTGATGTATTAATGTAATTATATTCTCAGATGTAAAATACAATTATGTGTTGTGCATGTTCTGCGTGTGTTTTTACAATAATAAACGAAACTAACTAGTCATGTGAGGTTTCTATGTTATGCATCTGTTGTGTGCAATACAAAAACGGAAGAAACTATTAGTGTGCAATTTCAATGCTTTGTCGTGTTTTTGTATAATATATAAAGGAAACCGAAATGTAAAACAAGATTATGTCTTTTAGAAGTGTTTCTGTACACACACACACACACACACACACACACACACACACACACACACACACACAAAACAACTTATACTGTCCTACGTGTGTTCTATATATGATCTCAAAGCATATTATCGTGTGAAAAACTCTGCGCTCTCTTTCTTTTTTACAGAACATTATCAGAACAAACCTGTAATGTGAAGATAAGGCTTCTAAATTTGTGTTTTTTTTTTTAGCACGTATTGAGTTGAGTTGAATTCAGTTGAGATCTGTCATCTCAACGCTCGGTATATTTTCACAAGAGCTCGTCCTTTATCTTCATTCAACAGCCAGTAAAGGTTTCCAGTGTTGAAGCTGTCACTTACGTTGGTCTTGGATTTCTTCAGAGCATAGATCGTATTGTCTCTTTTCTTATACGGATGTGAGAGTTGGACTGTCACCGTTAAAATGAAAAGGATGATTCAAGCTTTCGAATATAAATACTAGAGATGCATTTTTCGAATTAGTTACTTAGAAACCATAAAAAAAAAAACAAAAAAAAACCACTAGATATGACAGAGACTACAAATACAAATTTACATAAAATCAGGAGCTTCTTTTGGCAGCGGTGAAACGTCGCAAATTAGCTTGGTTCTGGCATGTGGTGAGACATGACTCGGTTGCAAAGACTTCACTTCAATGACAATTAGTGGGAAAGGGGTGGGCGTAGTCGAAGAAGATGAGGGCAAAGAAGAACCTATAAAGACAACATGAAGAATTAGATTACCAGATTACCAGTCTGGACCAAAATTATCATACGCTAATTCATCATGCGGAAGACAGAGAAAGATAGCATGTTTTGAGTGCAAGTGCTTCCGTCGATGCACCTCCACGACCCTAACTGGTCAAGAGTTATGTTATGCTAGAGCGTCGACCAGATCCCGTGGTCACTGCTGGATGTATCATTTTCTCCATATTATACTGGTCTTTTCCTGCATCTGGGTGTGCTGTATAGCCTAGTACATAAACGGAGCCTGCTTGTCAAGTTAATATTCTGTTTTATGTGTACCTCCCTATGTCTTGTATGGTACATAAAAAGAGACCAGCTTGTAAAAGGAATATTCTGTTTTCTGTGTGCGTGTTTCAGGACACAAATGTTTTCCCTAGCTACACTTTGCTGAATGGGAGAGTCATCAGCGATGTGACTGCTCTGAACTTGTATTCTAGATGGTTGACACAGCAGGAGGCGTACGCACAGAATAAATATGACTTCGCGGTGCTGTTAACAGGGTAAGTAATTGTAGTAGTTGTCTGGCAATACTAGGAGAAATTGTGGTGGTAGTCGTAATAATAGAGAGACAGTGGTTGTGACAGTGATAGCGGCTTTACTAGAAGGAGATCAGTAGTCGTTTTATTGTTGCTGTAGGAGTAGTAGTTGGAGGGACGATGGTAGTAGTAGCAATACCAGTAGTTCCAGTAGTAGTAGTAGTAGTAGTAGTAGTAGTAGTAGTAGTAGTAGTAGTAGTAGTAGTAGTAGTAGTAGTAGTAGTAGTAGTAGTAGTAGTACCTGTCGTTTTAGAAGTAGTAGCTCTCGCAAGGAAAGCATCGACAGTAATAATGTGGAAATAGCAGTATCGATATTAATATTGGTGGTCGAATAGTGGCAGAAGTATTAGTGCTTGCGGTGGTAGTGGTAGTCAGTTAAAAAAATGTGAACCACCTTTTAACTTCACTGGGGGAACCGTGCGTATGGTAAAAGTAAAGCCAAGGACCAATGTTAATTCATTTAAGTGTTTTAGGCATAAAGGGCTAGACCTATATTTTATAAACCAATCGGCACTCTGTGGGTGTTGTGTTCAAAATTACTTCGGCCGTCCTTACTTTCCAGGACTCTACCTGGCCCCACTCGAAACTGGGTTGACCTGAGAGCCAAAGTCATTTAAAAAACAAAGTCCGTCCCTGTCAGGATCTGAACCTGCAACCTTCCGATCCACAGGCGAGTGTCTAGCCGCTACACCACGATGGTTTCCTCACATTTGAGAACCTCACCTATACTTTTAATGATAGCTAGTTGATGTCACGAGCATCACACCAATCACCTGTAATTCCCATTCAATTTCAGACAACCCGTTTCAGGCTGGAACTCTGATTAAGTTTTCTTTAATAACCCCGTCTGGATGGGTATTCGAACCCAAGACTAATGACGTCAGGCAAGCGTCTAGCCAGTGCACGATGACGGGACATATAGATGTTTGTTGTGTACAGTCCCGCTATTAAATAGTAATACAGGGTTTATTATGTGATAGACAAAAGTGCTACTAACGTACCCTAGCTTGTCACCCCAACAGGTGCAATTACTCTATGATCTGACCAGATTGCAAATAACTCCAAGTTTTTTTTAACTAGTGAGAGCTATTTTGTTACGTATGCCGCAAGGAGTAAATAGCGAATAAATTATTTTTAAGCTCGACAGAAAAATGTGCTACTGAGGCAGTTGATTTGATTGGATCCATTTCTTTCGATAAACATTTATGTCAAGCATAAGGTGGTGTGCACGATTCAAAACTGATGTTGGTAGATCGGAGATGAAGCTAGGCCGGGCTGTCTAGTGTCTGTTCGTAAAGATAAACGTATTACCAAAGTAAAAGAAAACTAATATATGCAGATCGTTTTCCTACTGTGATGATGACGACATGAATTTGATGTTGAATTTACTAAACAATGATCTCGAAACTCTTGTCTCATTAATTCAACTATCTCGAGATCTTTTACTCCAATGCAGAACATAATTTAATGTCTACTCTTTGTTCCATGCTGCATACGTAACCATGGAAGTCACACTCGCTAACAAATGGCGGGTTCCTTATTCGCTGACAGGGGATGTTACCATTTCGTCATATCATGGACGAGGAAGGTGAATGGTGACTGTTAAAATGTTTCCTTTTTGTTTCACGAATGGGTTCTTTGTCTTAGTGATAATTATAATATACAATGTATGGTGTGTTGAGCGGCTCCTCCACCTCCCGCAAATGCTTTCTGTGTTCAGTGCTTAACCTCATAGTGTGAACAACCCACTACTTAATGTTTTCCTTTTTTTTTTTTTTTCAGGTCTGACATTTCTGGTTCCGCTGACCTATCAACAACAGGTAAATACATTTTCACTTTACCATTCAAATGTTATCAATTGTAATTTGTCTCTTTGTACTGGGTCTCACTGGTGTTACTAAAAGACTAGCTGCTGTCTAGATTTCACAGAGCAGACGAGAGCGATCTTCTTCCTAATTAACTGCCGCACTTCTCCACACTACAGTCGAAGCCTGCTGATAACAGTTTCACCTTTCTTGGCCATTTCACATGTCAATCTACCAGTCTAACATTCTACCGACAATCTACAGCATATCAATTATTTCATCCATCCAGGGTCTTCGTGTTCGCAATTTGAATCGTGTCACATATCGCTCCTGACGCGTGCCTGATTTAAGGATTTCTCATTAAGAACCAACAGTACTCTGAAATAATTATGTTGAGTCGTTGGCACGTATTGGTCTAAGGGATGCCCCGTGGCCAATATACGCTCAACTTATTTCAGGAGTAGGGCAACTCAAGTTTTGGCACTACAAAATATATATTATTCCTAGGCACACTTGGCTGGACACCCCCACTACTATAAAAAGATAGCCCCCAGGTTATGATAGTCTACTATCATAACCTTGTTAACACATATAACACTTATTGCTCACACAATCATCAGAGCTAGACAGTTAGAATGGTGAAATAGGGACACCCAAGTCAACCATGAAAATTTGTACATGTAATCGGTACAATATATGCATATAATAGTGAATAGATCAACAAGAGTTCATTGGGTGGAGCTCAGGAATCAATGACACCACCCAGATATTGAAGCAGCCAGATCCTGTTCTAGGAGAGACATGAGTTCATCATCGGTCTGAATCAGGTGCTGTGGGAATAGAGCATGAAGGGTGAATAAAAGATCACTTAGCCCAGTTCGTAGGTCAATGCTCCCCTCAGTCCACGGTGATTCGACTGTAGTTGACTCAGTCAGTAGTTGGGCCTTGTTTTGATTTGGTACCAGCTGACTGTCACGAGCTAGAACACAGGAACTGCACAGGAGCCCACCAAACTCTTGGAGACTGTGATGCCCTCTGCCAGTCTCACAGGTGATGACACAATAAATGCAGAAGAGCCACACAAAGCTCTCGAAGACTGGTTCTCTGGAGTGATGACATAGCTGTCTGCAATTGTCCACTCGTCCTGGAATTCACAAACAAGCTCTTGCCATGTTGAGGTAGTGGCACAATGGGCAGGACTTTTGGGTATGCTTTTAGTGCACAGAATGGTATGGGTTGGTGGTGGTTGGCTGGACTGTGATTCGTCTGCCTGATCTCTAAGGAGGTATCATCCCAAGCTTAGGAAATCTTCCAAGAAAGAAATGGAACTTTGAATGCGCCAATTTCTACATAGACTGTGTTCACGTCTTGACACTTTGGGATCAGGCTAAAGAATGTTTTTTTCAAAATCAAACTAGCGTCTCCAGGAAAGAAGTCCCCTATATTCCTACCCAAGGAGTAAACCGGTTTACAGGAATTTCTAAATAAAATACAAGAATTAGCCAACCTACAGTTGCAAGTTTGAAAATGAAGATTTATCAAAGCAACTAGAGGGTCTAGAAATTATTATTTTACCAAATAAAGGTATAGATCAATATAAGGGACTATATACCTTACCGGACGGGTTCAAGTTTGAAATTTCACTTTCCGCGAGGGAAATCAAAGTCGCGACTCGTCCATTATGTAGGGGGGGCTGCTCACCTCACGACAAATCGTACAGCTAAGCCTTGAACGTTCATCTTTGACATGCATATAATAAGCACTCGGCAGGACACATTGGTCGTCTTTCTCTAAGCGATATTCAACGTAGCTTTCTTCGCAGACGATCGACTTTTATTCCTTCTATCTCTAGAGCACTGTCACCGAATGACTCAATATTTAGCATTCAAAAATCGTACTTAACCTCCGTAACCTGGATCTACACACCGAGTCATGCGGGCGTAAATGGAAATGAGCGAGAAGATCAACTGGCAAGCACTGCACTAAAGATTGCTGAAAAAAGCATGAACAGACCAGATATCGTCAACGCTGTACGAACTGGGCTAGTGGATAATAAGGAATCCCTGACACTAACACGACTGCGTGACATGGGAGTAGAGCACGGTGAAGCACGTCTATGCCGTCTTCGAAGCCGAGATAGGAGACAATATAACTAGCTTCTCATGGGAACAATTAGTAGAAGTGCTTTGGAGTTGTTGCTGCATCGAAGGACTGTGCACGCATGGGAATTCCCAATGTGCAGTGACGTCAACTGTGATAACATAACATTAGCTATTCCCCCAGTTATCTCATGTTTCCAAATCAACTCAAACAGCCCCGTCTTTTGAAGCTCTCTCGCTGACTTTATGTCTTACAGCCTAGGGATTTTCCTAACCCTACCAACCAATCGAATTTCTTTTATTAATCCTATATTAAAAATCACTACATCAATCATGGACAGTCACTAGAAGATTAGATGGAGCCTGGGAACTCCCGTACATTGAGAGCTCTACCCCGCCAGCCCCAACATTATTATTAGAGATGGTAGTGGTGGTGGTGGTGGTGGTGGTGGTGGTAGTGCTGGTGCTGGTAGTAGTAGCAGCAGCAGCAGTAGTAGTAGTTTTAGTTATAGTAGTAGTAGTACCAGTAGTAGTAAAAGTAGCAGTAGTAGTAGCAGCAGAAGTAGTAGTTGCAGCATCAGCAGTAGACTTAGCAATAGTAGATGATGACGAAGATTTTTGCTGTAGCATCAACAACAGTAGCATAAGCAGAAGATGCAGTAGTAGTAATAGTACTGCTAACATTATTATTGTAACCACATCCACCTTTACCGGTGCTCTAACGTTGTTTGAAAATCTCTACCCGTGTTTACAGGTGTAGCTACCATCGGTACAATCTGCAACCCACTAAACGCCCTCAGTGTTATAGAATACAATGGTACATACAGTACAGTGGTCATCAACGCCCACAATATTGGCCTGTTGTAAGTATTTGTTTTTCTTATTGCTAGATGATATTATTATTACGTAAACAACCCGTCTGCAATGACTAATGACCAACTGACGACATTACTTATGTATGCTATTGCTAGTAACGCTACTATCACTAGTCCTCTAAATTGAATTTAGGAGGTCAACTAAAAGCCTGGCTCTGAAATTTAGATATCAACTAAAAGCCTGGAACTTAAATTCGGAGGTTAGCTAGCCTGGCCATGAAATTCGGAAGTCAACTAAAAGCCTGGCAATGACATTCGGAGGTCAACTAAAATCTAGCAATGAAATTGGGAAGTCAACTAAAATCCCTGCAATGAAACTTTGTTAGTCAGTTAAAAAACGCGAAGACTTCTTACAAATGTATGAGAACAGGCTTACGAAGTGTATTTAGGCCATCAAAGATGCAAACAGCGGAGGGTGGAGAGTGAGAAGCAACAACGTATTTCATGATCTGTACATGACCACCAATTGCAGATATCATTAGAGGTAATAGACTGTAACGATTGATGCATGTATAGAGAACAGGAGATAACAGAGAGACAAAGACAGCGTATGCAACAGAGATGATTGGCAGCAGGTCAAGTGACAGACAAGAAAACGGTGGGAATTAGTACAGACACGTGCTGTCACCAACTGGAGAAAGGAAAAATTAGTATCTAATTTAAATGGAAGGGGGTGATATTTGCAGCAACGAACCTCAGAGGCTCGAAAGACTGAAGAAGAGAAGAACCACTGCTAATATTTCTACAAGTATCGGACTTTGCGATGCCAGCAAGTCCTGAAATCCCATGCTCTGTTAGTGCAAGACCTCTCTTGGCGCGATGGGTCTTGCTAGTCACTCTCGCCATCAGCATGGGCTGTGCGTTCCATACCTTATCATAGCCCAATCTAGTAATATTGTCTATAAAGACAGAAATGTTAAAACTACTGCTAATAATACTGCTATTATTGCTACTCAGGCTACATTCTAAGTCGGAGTGCATCTACCGGAGAGGCAAGGAAAGAACATTTGAGCCAGACCTGTAAAACTGATGCGCACGCAAAACACAGGTTCTGGAACAGGATTATACTTCAAAAGTGGACGGACAACCAGAACTTTCCGCTGGAATTTACAGCTGGCGGGAAAAAAAAGAGAAGAAGAAAACTACTAATGCTCATATATATATACTACATCTATGGTTGTTATTCTATATCTATATCCTCTTCACATCGATACTGACACATGCGGCATTCACAAGCGATCTCTATTGCATGTCTTGCCCCTTTTTGCAATGATATTCCATTGTCAAATTGCATTCTTTCATTACCCTTCATCATGTTCTTCCCTGGGCTTCCCTAGGTCGTCCATTTTCCATCGGAGAGCTGTCCCTGCCAAAGGGTCACAAAGCATACTGCAAACATGTCCAAGCCATCTCCATATTCTTCTTCTGATAACGCTCGCCAGTGTCAAACATTTTGGTTTCGTCCTGAATATCTCATCTGTGGCAATACTGTCATCATCGTCTTCGATTTTCCCATCCTGAATGGTTTTAATTATCTTACAACAGGTTGGGAACAACAAATGGGGGCGCTGCTTCAGACCGCATCATGGCTTTTGCAAATGCTCCCAAACACAAAAATCGCTGGAATTTTGACGAATGTAACGCATTTGACATTAAAGAGTTTCTTCCTTCTCTCAAGTAAGTGTTTTTAGCAGCCAAAACCATGAATTTTATATTGTGGTTTCTCTTGATCTTGTTCTTGTTCCCCTTGTTATTTTTTAATTCTTGTCCTACTACTCCTCCTCACCCCTTTTTTCATTTTCTCTTTGTTTTTGCCTGCTTCTTCTCATCCTCCTCTTACTCTTCCTCTTTCTCTTCCCTCTTCTTCTACTTCTCATTTTTCTTCTTTCTCCTCCCCTTCATATTCTTTTGCTGGCGTTGTTAGAGATATGCGTTTTGAGCGTGCACCATTTTTGCAAATCTAGCCTAATTATTTACAGATTATTTACGGACTTCAACTTTTAACAAGTCCCACATTTATTCGACTTCTAATTAATGATTGTTAGAGACATGCGACTTCTAATTAATGATTGTTAGAGACATGCGACTTCTAATTAATGATTGTTAGAGACATGCGAGACCTGGACACTTACTAAACAAGCGGAACAGCGCATAAATGCATTTGAATATAAATGTTACAGACAGGTTCTAAGAATATCTTGGGTAAAGAAAAGAACAAATGCATCCATACTTCAAGAGCTGAATATTGAAGAGGGTTGGCTAGTAAAGACAATAAAACAAAGAAAATTGAAATATTTTGGTCACTTGAAACGTCATGGAAGTCTAGAGATAACAATAATGGAGGGGTATATGCCTGGGAAGAGAGGAAGAGGAAGGCCAAGGAGAAGATGGGTGCAGGATGTGGCAGATGATCTCCAGATGGGTGTATCAGACGCAGGACATCTTGCTCATGATAGGAAGGTTTTCCGGAGGGTTGTTATGGCAGCGAGGTTCCGCGAGGGACATGCTACTGAATGAATGAATGAAAAGACATGCGACTTCTAATTAATGATTGTTAGAGACATGCGACTTCTAATTAATGATTGTTAGAGAGGTAGTGGGTCTGTTCTGATTACTTACCACAGAAACCATGAGTTGTCAACCATTCAGCTCGGTACTATTTATATTGCAATCCATCGGCCTTAATTCAACCATAGATACCGTAAATCTGGGAAATATATGGCTTTTCTGCCTACCCCCCAATCTAAGCTCGGACCACAAGTAGTTTGTCACCTGGTCACCACGCAATTGGTTTAACTAACTTAGCTAGTTATTACGGCGAGGTATTTCTGGAGTTTAGTTTAGTTTAGTCGACGGCTCAACATCAAGGCACATTTGTGTAACCCATAAGTGCATCGTTCTACTTCTAAATTAAGCCTGAGTCTGAAGATTCTCAGCACAGTGCACGAACTCCGTTTTACCGGCGAGGATCCTGAAAAACTTTTGGTAGATTTTTAACTAAAAATTTTGCCCTGACAGGCTGCTCGTTTTCGATTTCCGACCGCCAAGGTATTTTTTACGTGCGCAACAATACACACGGGCATCCGATCATACTACCCAAAGATGAGGCGAAAATACTAGAAGTCTACGTTAAACAATACCAGCCTTCACTAGGGTTTGAACCCGGGACTTCCAGCACTCGAAGCTGAACCATACCTCGAAACCACTCAACGCTCTAATTTCTGAGGGTTTTGTGCATATAGTGATGAGCATGTGTATGGGATGGGTGGAAAAAGGGGCGGGGGTAGTCTAGAGATATAAAACGTCATTGCACGTGCAGTCACTGCGGATTGTGCTGCCTATTATTTTATAAAAGCCTTCTGACATGAACAGATCCATTTCCGAAAAGCTTCGCCTAAGTTTTTCTAGATCAGAGCTTTTTTGTTGTTGAAATTTTTAACGTTAGGTTAGTCACTCCTTGTGATGAACTACATGACTACTGTCTGATAAACAGGTTAATCTTCTCCGCAGAACTAACTGTCTCCTGGATACATCCAGCGCCTCCACGACACCGGTTTCCTCCTATGCTACCTACAGTGGTCGTCTCTTTGACTCCAACGTGATCTGTGAAAGGACACTCAACGATACCAGAAGTTACACTTGCCTGGTAAGCTGAGTTTGCATACTCTAATTCTTCTGCCAAAGCCTGGTACGGGCAAGACATCTACGAGTAGAATACTTTGATCCTTTGGTTAATTCATTAATTTATTTCTTATCATAATGTATTGTTTATGCGACGGATAAGGTTAGCAGCCAATTTCTCAGTTCCGTTAAATCCTTGCAGATTTTTAAATGTCACATATAGTGTCTAGTCTCTAGCGTCTGTTCAACATATCTCATCTTAACGTATCTTTTGGATCACCTCTCTTTCTCGATCCTTTTCCCATTTCATTTTTCCCTTTTTACTCTTCTTTTTCCCGATTCTTTAATTCTCTTTCACAACGGATATTTAGACGAAAGGGATATTCATCACAGTCAGACAGCAGGTTTAATACACAGGATAGCGTTATCGTCACAGCAAGTTCTATACACAGAATAGCGTTATCGTCACAGCAAGTTGTATACACAGAATAGAGCTATAGTCACAGCAAGTTTTATTCACAGAATGGAGCTATCGTCACAGCAAGTTCTATACACAAAACAGCGTTATAGTCACAGCAAGTTGTATACACAGAATAAAGATATCGTCACAGCAAGTTCTATACATAGAATAACGCTATCTTCACAGCAAGTTCTATACACAGAATAGGGTTATCGTCACAGTAAGTTCGATACACAGAATAGAGCTATCGTCACAGCAAGGCAAAATCTTTCTCTAGCTAGTTTTCCAGCCCAGTTTGGTTTCATAGCCAAAGTGTCTTCAGCGTTGTATCCACATTGCCGAGGTCTGGCTTTGCCCTTTGTTCCGCAAACTCCCCTCTATCGCTGTCTTTACCATCTTGTTTAACCTATATTTTTTAGGAAACGATAATGCTTAGTAGTCGGTTCTTCTCGATGTTCGGATCATGTATGAACTTCTAGGAACTTTTGTTAGTCTAAAACTTAATGTAATTTTTTTTTCTCCACTGAACGAGTAATGTAAGTAAAGTAAAGAACCCCCTTCCCCGCTTTTAGGAGTATAGGGCATATAGGGCTTGACCTATATTTTATATTACCCGGGACTGCACCCGGTACCCACTCAGGGCTGGGTCGATTTGGGAGCCAAGGTCATTTCTGAAAAAAGTCCTGCTCCGCCAGAGAGTGAACCCACGACCTTCCGATCCCCGGTGAGCGTCTAGCCGCTTCGCCATGGCGGCTCCTGAGCGGGTAATTTGCTCGTGTGATTATATAAATATAAAATTTATATTTAAAGGTCTTGCTTTCTTGCCTCGCTGATTTAGATTTCGAGCGAAATGTTCATTTCTAATCACAGCGGAAATCCAATATTGGTCAATAACCCGTTTCTCATGTGATGACAAATGTTAACAATGACAAATATTAACAATGACAAATATTAACAATGACAAATATTAACAATGACAAATATTAACAATGACAAATATTAACAATGACAAATATCAAACTAACCTCAAAGAAAATAACTAATGATGGTCTAATTCATTTCCAGCCCTGAATGTTGCCTGTTTATTCATGCCTGTTTATGTTGATTGCCTGTTTAATCAATCGCAGAAATCATTGCAAAAATAGGGGGGGGGGGGGGGGAGAGAAAATAAAAAAAAAGGGGGGGGGGAGTTGTTTCACTGTATATGTTACTGCTTTATCAGTGAGAGAACTTTACTCGTGCAATATGACGTAAATATACTGTATTTTTAAAAAAAAAAAAATTTGGAAAGAAATTTACAATTTGGATGAAAAGCACTGGCTATTGCTAGAGTCAGATACGGCAAAGTCATTTCTGGTAATTGATGTTCCGGTGATTCATCAGCATTTATACACAATTCGCCAGCGGTATTAATTTTTTAGGAGTTATCAAATGCCGTTTATTTTGTTCTGTTTTGAATTTTAAAAAATTATCTTCTTTCTCTTTCGCCTTCTTGCTTTAACATGTCTTTCTATGTGTGTCATCATTTTCTAGCACGGAAGAAAAAAATAAAGACAGTGTGTGTGTGTGTGTATATATATATATATATATATATATATATATATATATATATAATGTGTATGTGTGTGTGTATGTATGTGTATAATATTTTGTGAAAGCTGCAGAAATATAGTAGTAATAGATATTAGTAGTAGTAATGAAGAGTAGTAATACAGTAATTGATAGTAGAAGTACTCGTAATAGTAGCTATGGATAGTAGAAATAGCAATAGTGTTGGTGGTTGCAATAGGATCAGTAGTAGCAGCAGCAGCAGTAGTTGAAGAAGTAGTAGTACTAATTATTGAAGAAGTAGCAGAAGTGAAAGTAGTAGAGGCGATCATGATGGTAATGTAGTAATGAATTATAGTATTAATTATTAGTACTAGTAGTAATAGCAGGAGTCATAGATAATAGTAATGTATGGCAGTAGAAGTAGGACTCGTAGTAGAATGGCTAGTAGTAGAAGCAGCAGCAAAAGTAGTGGTGGGTGTTGTAGTATTAGTAGTTGTTGTGGTCGTTGTTGTTGAAGCAGTTGCAACTCTAGCGGTTGCAGCAGCAATAGTACAGTCATAGTGGCTACTACTACTGTGGTAGCAGCAACAGTAGCATTAGTAGTGGTGGTTGTGATAGTAGTAGTAAGTAGTATCAGCACATCAGCAGCAGAAGTGAAAAAAAGATCCCTTTTCACGACTTAGGCGTATCGGGCATATGGGAAAAGCGTCCTATATTTTTACAGACCAATCGGCACTGGTGGGTAATGTGGTCAGCATTACGCCAGCCGTCTTTACTTCCCCAGGCCAGCCATCCTGGTACCCATTTTAGGCAGGCTCGACCTGCGACGCCCCATATCATGATAAAAATCCACGCAGCCAGCAGTGATTTCAATCGCGGTACGTTGGAATTACAAGTTGGACTCACAATGCCTTAGCCACGGACGCCGCTAGCAGTAGCACCAGTAGTATTAGTAATCATTGTTTCCCAAGCCTAACTTTCTGGCACTCATGCAAACACCGGAATCCACAGTCGACCAACCTCTACAACAACGGAACCGCCAAGGGAGACGCCATCTGTCAGCAGCTCTACTGTCAGTGGCCTGGCACTCCCTACTGCATACCCGCTTTCCCTTCAGACGGGATGATCTGTGACAACAGAAAGGTGAGTACATGACTTGTCCAACTGCTCGGCTCGGCTCTGTGTCTTGGAGGGTTAGTGAACTGATTTCATAGTATATCATCATCATCATCACGTAGAAGGTCCTTTGCGGAAAGTTGAGCTCATCACAGTTTGCTTAAAAGAACCCCGGTCTCTCACCAGCTCTCCCGCCTCCTTCACTTCCCTATCCAAGGTGTCTCTTATACCCTCTATGCATCTTCGTGTTGTTTCGATCCTGCTCTCTTTTCTTGGTACCATGTCTTCTGTCTTTATTTTTCCAATTTCGCCGTGGTGCTTGATAAGGAAAAATATTTCAGTTTCGGTGACAGGATGCTGTTTACTAGCCAATCTCACTTGATGTTCAGGTCTTTGAGGATATCAGTATTTCTCTTTCTCTGTGTCCGTTGTATTTGTCTACCTTAATGAATGTGAGGTAGTCCACAACTTGCATGCATATATTGCTACAGGGAAGATGCAGGCTTTCAAAACTTTGATTTCCTTGCTGATGCTCAACAATAGAGCTTCATCCATGTGTGGGATGCAATTTTTCGTTATTCGAAGCCATACCTTGGCTTTTTGCCTGGGGCCCTAATTATAGCCGGGCCTGAAATATGACCTAACGGCTGAACGGGGGTTTCAGGGACCTCTCCACGGGAAATCCTCATCCGCATGGTGGCACTTTTTGTTACCGGGTGTTCATCGTTTTTGTGATGTACTGGTGGGGTACAACTTACATATATACATACAATAGAGCTTCAATGCTGTCGAATATTAGTTTTGCTCTATTCCATTTTTATTTTGACTGCTGTAGATGAGTCTGTTTTTTGTGTGTTTATCATCATCATCATCATTATTATTATCATCATCTATCATCATCATCATCATCATCATCATCATTATCATCATAATTATTATCACCATCACCACCACCACCATGTGCAGATGCCGGTAAGCGTAGGCTGT